TTTACGTTTATGGATGAATTTGACAGCGACAATGTTTCAAAATTAGGAAGGGAAGCAGTGATTGTTTGATTATATAGACGCTTCGCCCCTGCAGTGATGGTGGTGATGATAAACACACTAATTATGTTCTTCCACTTGAAAGCAGGTCTGGGTACAGCACGGCGTAAGTACAATTCAGTATATTAAGTAGTTATGCGTGTTACTGAATGCATAAATAATACACCTGTGGTTTTTGTGGTAACGGTGGTAGTGGTGTTGGAAGCAGGGAAACAGTGGTGGTTGTTGTGGTTGTGGTAGTGGTAGTGGTGGTAGTGGTGGTATATGGCATTGGAAGCAGAAAAGCAGGAATAGTTGTGGCTGTGGTTGTGGTTGCATTGGATGTAGAAGAGCAGTGGTGGATGTAGAAGAGCAGTGGTGGTTGTTGTGTTGGAAGTAGGAAAAATAGTAGTTGTGGTGACAGTGACGGTGGTAGTGGCGTTGGAAGTAGTGGTGGTTGTGGTTGTGGTAGTTGTGGTTGTGGTTGTGGTTGTGGTTGTGGTTGTGGTTGTGGTTGTGGTTGTGGTGGTAGTGGTAGTGGTGGTAGTAGTAGTGGTGGTAGTGGTAGAAGCGTAGGAAGAAGTAGTGGGGGTTGTCGATGTGGTGGTTGTGGTAGTAGTAGTAGTGGTAGTGGTAGTGGTAGAAACGTTATAAAAAGTTGTGGTTGTTGTGGCTGTGGTAGTTGAAGTGGTAGTGGTGGTAGTGGTTGTGGTAGTTGTGGTAGCGGTAGTAGTGTCGTTAGAAGCAGTGGTGGTGGTTGTGGTTGTGGTGGTGGTAGTCGTAGTGGTGTTGGAAAAAGTGGTAGTGGTGGTGGTAGTGGTAGTGGTAGTGATGGTAATCTATATATTTGTCATGCCAAGCTGGAATCAGGCGCCCGTCAGTTTTGTTTGTTTATTTTTGGCATATATGGATTTATTGGTACATTGTATAATCTGAAAGCTTGTTCATTTGCCTTGCTTCTGGTGAGAAAAAAACAACCTCACCCACAGTTAAGAATAGATGTCGACATTTGTGATTGAAGGTTGTGCAGATCGCCTGGTATAGGAAGTAAAATTAGCTAGAAAAACGACGTTCTAGTTCGGAGATATCTAAAACTGTCGTGTCCCTGAAAACTAACTCCTAATTTACATTTGTGTCTTTGATCAAAATTTGTTAGTACAGTCCACGAAAGCATGAGTTGTTATATGGGTATAAACTAGAACTTTCCCCTATGTGTCTTTTGTGTGTCTAGGCTTATGAGACTGGATCGCCACCTTTTCCACTGTACAGCCCTAAAAAAATGACATCAGATCTACACTTCTCCCTCCGAGACCTAACATCAACAACACACTCTACGGAACATTACAGCAACTGGAGCAAACCTGCA